GTGYACATCAGTCTATATAATGACTGGTTATTATTGCCTCATTGCTTATAAACAGCGTCATTTTGAAAATGGTTGAGCCAGAGACTTGTTAAAATCTTTAGAATGAAGAAGAGCCCCTGAATGAGCTCTACCTCTGGAGTTATGCTTTTCCTGTATGTAAGCCCTCATCTCATCTACATCTACAAGGGACTCGCAGGTGACTCTCTTCCATTCCCATATGAGTGTCTCTTCTGTCTAGTTCTGTTCTGAAAAGCCTCAGAATTGTCGTGCTCCTCTAAATTGCTTTCAATTTTTATGAAATGACAACTGCTTCCCATCAAGAATGTTTTGTTGGAAATTACCAACTAACTCAGTGACTGGAAGCCAATGCACTTTTAGTAATTTGCCCACTTGGTGCATTTACAGGAAGGTAATGATGACTTATCCTTCGGGTATGAGCAGGGCAGAAGACGCCATTAAGAGGCTCTTGTAACTCAGTGAGCTCAGTTAGAATCTCCGGTCTTCAAAGATGTGGGCTGGCAGAGGGAGCGTGATGGCAATAATAAATTTAAACTTAATTGTTCAGGATTTTAAGTCRTCTTGTTTGTTTGTTTGTTGTCTTATAAGGCTTAAGCAGCAAAGTGTTTTGGCTTTGCTTCTTGTTTCAAGGTTTGTGTTATGATTGTAGCTGCTTGCCTTGTTCTTTGCTTGAAAGGGAATTACAGTCAATACTGCTTTTAGCCAAGTTATTTCTGTCTCTGACTRTCCCAATCAGAAGCAGCATTTATTGCTGTACTTCCCACAGAGTGTGGCTCCCTGGATCAGGATTCGATGGGYCACACAAGTAATATTAAGCTGAACTCCAAAAGGTAGTGGAGTATCAGAACCAAGCACGAGATGGCAGAGGAATCTTTGAGAAAGATGGAAGTCATTCATAGTTGATAATTTAGTTGTATCTGTTGGCTATGTTCTGTTTAAACTAAAATACTGCAACATGGAATGTAATAGATATTATACTGACCCCATTAAGCTTGTAAAGTAGTGCAATATGACCTGAGATTTTTTTTTTTCTCCACACTCCCATCCTTGTTTCAGCAGTGACTATATCTTTTTTTTTTTTTATCTAGGTGAAAAGGAGAACGTAATTCCAAACCCAGCACAGGCTTGCAGCCTAAGCAGGAATGCTAAATATTGATCCAGAACACCCCACTAAAATATTATCACCATCACTGCTACCAACAAAAACCTCTAACTAGCAGTATTCATACGGTCCTGTAAATAAAAACACTTATTCCATGGGGAAAATGGAGATCATCTCTGCATAATTCTTTGGAGTTTACCCAACTAAATCTTAGTAKGCAGGTTGGGCACTTTGCAGTTGCAAAACCTTTCCTGTTTTTAGCTATCCTGAAAGCAGTTGCTGTTGCAAGTGAGTAACTGGGGGGAGCCATTGATGAAAACTGTGGCACGGCCTGACACAACGTGGTGAAYGGCATGTTGTGAAGGTCCAGTCTTTACCTTGCTGCTTTGGCTTGCTTAAAAACACCTGCTAGTACTACCTGGATTTTAGTGATAAGAGTAACGAGGTAGTGAGAAGRTGCTCCAGGATGTTTGTCTGCTGCTTCACAGGAGCCCTGAGCCGCTGCTGTGGCTTCTTGGCCCTGCGCAGGAGCGGGAGACTCGGGAGTTAAAAATCCACTTGTCTCAACTGTGCTGGAAAACATGTTAGTACAAGCAATTACATATAATATTTTTGTAATTCTAAGGAGTATGTTCTCCAAGATGTATTTTGCTGAAAACTGAGTGTGGGAAGGTGTCAGTTTAAACATTTTATTCATTATTTTATTACTCATGGTGATGCATAGGTGAGTTCATTTCTCCTCCTCCTCATGTGTTCAAGTAACTTACAAGGATAAGATGATCATTTAGGGGAAAAGAAAAAAAGYTTTAATGTTGTGTTTTGCTTGCCAGGATGTGTTATCTAAAACGGACCAGCTCACAATGCCCATACAGGTTCCATGTGGGAATGGAAACCGGAGGCTCATGGATTAGCACAGAGTCAGCACTGAGTTAAGCTGCAGCCTCATTCCAGAGGTTAGCCCATATCCCTCTCGGCTCTGTCCTGCTCCAGCCAAACGTGCTGAAGGGGACCCAGCACGTGCAGGACGGGCTGCCAGGCTGTGTGTGTCACTGGGACGGGCTGGTGGGATGGGAACAYAGAGCACTTCTCTCATCTCCCAGGTCTCCTGTGTGTGCTTATGCACTGGGARGTTTGGAATAAAGGAAAGGAATATAACACTAGCCATTCAGTATCAGATCCTGACTTTTCTTTGTTTGAGAGTCCTTCTGTATGTAGATTTGTAGATTGCTTTTCTATTCCTTGTTACTATAAAATTTTTTCAATATGCAGTGAAGTAACACTTGTGTTGACAATAATGGTGCATCATAATAGCAGTAATATTAGTCATCAGGTATCTTACAAAGGTCAAGATTGTTCTTTCTGGATCCCGTGTTAGCACACACAATGCTACAGAATGCTTAGATAGTGGTGAAAGATCCTGTTATCTGTGAATTGCCCTTAAATGAAGGATTGTGATTATTCTTCATGACTTCAAGTAAAAAGACAATTGTAACAATCTCAGCAACATCTGAAGGATAGCTGTGCTCAACAACAGATCTGGAGTCCCCCTTTCTTGGGGGAATGCTCCCAATTTGGAGGTTATGTAATGCAAGTACATATTGTGTCTTGCTTCTCGGCAGAAGTTGAATCATCTTGCTCTGGGCAGTAGAATTCACCCGGGCACTCAATTCCCTTGTTCCGTTCTCAAGTATTTTTGTGGTATTAGCTGTCAGTATCCTCAGCTTAGGTTGTTCTTGGTAGCTAGATGCAGCCTCCACCCAGTCCTCTGAACTATGGCCTGCAGGATTCCTAGTGCCAAACCAGAGTCTAATTTCACCTATTGTACTTTTGTCCCCCCTCTGCTTTCACACAGTGCTCCTAAAAGATTTCTTTGAGCTTGAAGAAAATCAAGATAGTGTTAGAAGATGTCATGGTGGGATGTCGTGGTGGGATGTCATGGTGGGGAGTTTATACTAGAGAGGCACCAGGAACCTGGCTGGAAGGCTGGCAACAGAGGAATTGGGGACCTTTGGTTCTAGAACAGACCCAGCCTTCTGCCTTAGTTTATGAACGAGGTTTTTTTTTCCTCTCCTGACATTTTCTTGTAGTGTTTTTGTCATTTCTTATTAGCCCGTCCTTATTGGCCCATCCTGCCACCTAGTTTCAATTGGTAACGCAGCCTGTGACCTGTCTTGTGCTGTGTACCACCCTTGTAAGCAGAGTCAGGAAACTTCAAGGCCTCAGCTCATGAACTCTACGTAGTCTCTCATTTTCCCAAGGGTAGTAAGGCTGTATATTAGGCACTACAGCAGTCCCTCCTGTAGGTTTTAAACTGGGCTTTTCATTGTATTCTCCACTTGTAATCCTGTAAAGTTTTGGATGCGCACTTGATTTGTGTGATGTGCAAACATTTAGCTTCAGCATGAAACTTCTAAAAGCCTCAGCCGTCCCCAAAATAATGAGACAGTGTYTGTGGTGTTAGACACCCTGCTCGACTCTGAATGAAAACCTGGTCCCTGGGGCTGTTGGGGCTGCCCAAGCCTGGGGAGCAGCATAGTTGCATTAGCCCTGGTGCAGGAGATGTTCATGGTGTGCTGAGCTCAGGGCTGTAAACTGACCTGGGGATGCTTGGGAACATGTTTGTAAACTGCAGAGTCTGCAACAGAAAGTGTCAGGCCTGTGTTTGGCAGTGCCAGTGCAAGATGATTTGAGGGCAGGCTTTAATATGAATTTCTCTTGCTCCTTAAGACACAGAAATGATCACTAATAAGCTTCATCTGGCTCTTTGATCTCCTCCTAGATAAGGATGTTCAAACAAATGTATTTTCAATAATCTGAATTGGTTCATTCTTATCTCACTGATTATTAAGGAATTCAGCTATTACCTTATGCCCAGCTGTGTTAAAAGACACGAAGTTATTATGTGGTAGCTGACTTGTGCACGCACTGTCATGCCTTTGCAATAGAAAAATGCAAATTTCTTTCAAGGTAGATTGTTAATGCTCTTAGAATTAGGTACTGATCACCTTTTTATTTGAGCTTCTATGAAGGGTTGGACATGAAAACTGTTTTGAAGTTTAGTTGTTCTGAAGCTTCCTGCTTTGATTTTTACATTTGATTCCATTTTCTTAGTTTTATCTTGCAGATGTGCTGATGTATTTAAGGTTTCAGCTAGCCCTGAAGCTCCATTGACAGGGCATGGAAGACACAGAACTGGGCAAATAATTAAGTGTATTTTGTTATGGATTTCRTTTGCATGTGAAATGCTACAAGTATCTTGTTCCTATTCAGGGCAGGAAGTGTTGATGTGTATGATATCAAACCCCATTTCCTCATTCTAAAATAAGATAATCAGGGGAAGAAGTTTTGTTTCAGTTTTCATTGATTAAATTATACAATGTTGAGAGAAATATGGTCTTTAAGAGCATCTGTAATGTATATTTTGTCCCTCATTTAGCATAGTTATGTGAATCACACAATGTGAGTTCTTAAGTTGTCAGATGACTTCTGTTTGCAAACTCTTTCTCTTTAACTAGTGCCTGWGCAGTTTGGGGTTTGCATTCCTAAATGTGTTGCTCTATGAATCTTTCAGCTAAAGACTGAGGAAAGGCTAAAAAGATAAAAGCCAGTCTGCTTCTAGCATAATGTCAGAGGCTGATGTTCTTCATTTATGGAACATAAATCTTTGTTATTGCCTGTTTGCAGAAGATCTTTATGAGGTGCATGGATGACAGCATATATTTAATTGCACAGTTATTGACCTCGACTATTATGCTGCCTTTAAACTTTAAAGAGTTTTTTTAAAGTAGATTAACTATTGTTAATTAATAGATTTTTAGATTAACTAGCTTATAAATGTTAAAAGTAATAATGTCCTGACTATCTGTGTGTTAATTTACAGGTCTGAAGGTGAAAGTTCAAGAAGCCTCAGGTATGTCTTCGTTGTCCTTCCTTGTATTTTTCATAATGTCCTTGTTCTGAGAAAATATTTTCTTTATTTATAAAGTGTTACTTATTTAAAAGCACAAAATAGAAGTAACGACTTCTAAAAGAAATATGGTTTTAATTTAGTTCTTAGCAAACTATTTGCATTTTGTGTGAAGGATCTTCTACACTGGCTAAGTCCAGTAATGGCTAAGATGACATTTCCTGACTCTTCTGTCTGCACTATGGATTAATTAAGACTTGTATCATATGGTTTTTCAATTTCTTAACAAAATGAAGCCTGGTACATGTTTAAAGGAAGCTTCCAGGCTCTTCAGTCAAAACACAGACCAAGTGGCCCCTGCCCCRGCAGTGGCGGGAGCCGGCGCTCGCTGTGAGCCGCTGCCCGTGAGAGCAGCACCTGCGCTGTGGAGGGAGCCCCCGCGGCTGTTCTAGCTTTCTGGGAGCATCTCTGCTGCTTTCKCTGCCGTGGAAACCTTCCTTTGCTGCTGAGATGCTGCTGGTGCACTTGCAGCGTTCTGATGATTTAGCAAATTTAATATAATTATTAGATAATTATCAGTTACTTCCATAACTTATGCATTTAATATTTTATACTTGCTTTTTATATATACTTGGATTTTTTTAACCTACATTTTTGAAAACGTAGCTGAGTCAGACTTGTAGAGTTCCTAACAGTGCTTGAAACATGACTGAACATTTAAAGCCGCCCACGTGAACCAGAGAGGGTTCCCTGTGCCTTACACCCTTACAGTTCAGTGGAGGTCTTGATTCGCAGGGAGCGTGGCTATTGACTAATGATAACATGGTCTAAAACTTCAGGATTAGTGTTCTGCATTTTATCATTTTCAGAATTATCAGGGCTTTTCACCTGTTGTCATTTCACAAATGACCAAGTAGAGGCCCTGTTTTGAACTCCTTTAGAGAAGATTGTGTAAGCAGCTCTGAAAGCTGCTGTACTTTGGAGCTGGCTTGASTGTTACCTGCAGACGAAGTCTTGAGAGAGCTCCCGGGCCAGCCGGCGCTGRCAGAGGTGCTGCAAGGACTTGATGCCTTTCTCCTTCTTCCGCAGCGAGGTAATGCAACTGCTGCGCACGGGCCTGGGGTCCTGCAAGGCAGCGTCCTTGTGTGTTTCTGCAGCAGCCCCAAGCTGGGTGAGGGGGTGACCCCCAGCAGTGGCTGAACACAGGAGCCCCGGGGGGATAGGTGCTCGGGCAGYCTCTGCAGGCCTCGCTAGCTCGCCCTGCGCGCCGCCTCGGAGCGGGAGCAGAGTGTCATAGAGCGTGTGCCTTGATGTATGAGCCCACGTAAAAACCCACTGACCYGGTGAGCTGGTGGACAAAAACTGTCCTCCAAGGAGCTTCTTTACCTTGTGGCTCATTTATTTCATACTGTTTTTCTTATTTCTAGATAGATGAAGTTTAATTATCTTAAATGAGGTGCTAAAGTCAGTGGGGGAGATGGTGCTTTTAAGCACTGTGGAGAGAAGAAATTGTCATTTCTGCTTGTGCAGTTAAAGGCACCCAAGTGCCAAACAGGGGCAGCAGGAGCGCRGCGGGGAAGGGAGGCCGGCCGAGCTGTGGCGAGGGGCCCCTGGCAAGCAAGGGCTGTCCCTGCACCGGCGTGCGGAGGCCAGGAGCCTGGGCTGCCTTCSCTCAGCCTGGCTGCAGCGAAGGAGCGAGAGGCTAGTGTGGGACTGGCATGGGACTGGCTCCCACCAGCATGAATACCTAAGGTACCAATAGAGCTAAATCCTCCGAGATGTAAGATGCAGCCTATATATATATATATATATAGGCTGCATATATATATATATAGGCTGCATATATATAGGAATGAATATTTTATGAATGAATGAATATTTTAGCTTCCTGTCTGTCAGAAGGTTGCTTTGAGATCAGATGGATAATAAAATTTGTGTGTATTTCTCTGTCGCTAGATACTCATGACCATTTAGTTGTTCCTTACATAGGAAAGAAAACCTCTGGTCCTTTCTGCTCAAGGGATGTGGCTATTAGGGTAACCAGTGCAGTAATTAACACTGTCTGCATTTGTAGCAGGCGTGTCAAAGAGCAAACAGATCTCTTGAATCCAGCCTGCGCTTAGAAGGCTGAAGCCAAATGTGTCTGTGTTGGGGGGGTTGGAAGCTGTGGCTTTAGTTCCAGTGGCTCTTGGAGCTGAGCAAGTATTATCTGACTTTTGGCTTGAGAGTCTGGCTTGGAAATAGCTGGCTACTTTTTTCATAATGGAATGAAATATTCAGGACAAGTTACACTGTTGCAGAGTTGCAAAAGTTGCTGCCTTGATGGATTTGTTTCCAGAAGCCTTCTAGCTTTTCATAAGCAAAAAAGTTTATCCCAAGGACCCCATGCTGAAATGCCCTGAATTTCGGAAAAGCCTCAGTGTGGCTCCGCAGGGGCAYGGCTGATGCAGAAGAGCAACGTGTTTCTAGATCATCTGCTGCCTTGATTAGAAATAGGTGGGAATTGTTGGGTGTCTTCCCTGTCTTCCTTATTACAACTGAAAGTTATRAATTATCCCGTTGCAGAGGGGATGGCAAGAGATGCTGTGAAAGACATTCTGTTTTTAATAATGTATTATGATAAACTTGTGTGAGATTTCTCTTGGTGAATACCATATCATTTTTAAGCATRCATAGTTATGCTAAGACTCTAAAAGTTATCTTGAACGTTTTACATTCTCAGATGTAATGAACATGTAGCCAGTGAGTTGAGATAGTGCCTTTTAATTGACTCTCTTTGTTCTTATGTTTTAGTAGAAAATGCAGTTTGTTTAACAAACAATTTTAATGTCTAGCAGTACGATCTGACAGTTACAGATGAGCAAACCTCTGAAACTTGCGTGGGAATGATGCCTTTGTGCTCTGGCTCTCCTTCTCCCTCCTCTTTCSTCCCTGGAGGAGGTTAATAGCCCTGTGTCACACGGTGGCCCCAGGGCGCAGGATTTCGTGAACTGTTTCTGTAGGTACTCCTTTGATGCTTTCTCTGTGAGGAAGCTGGACGAACTGCAAGGTACATTTTGGGTGGCCACTGCTGCTCGCCCCAGTTTGTCAGGGCAGTTGCTGGCATGGGGCTACCACCGGGTCATTTGTCAGCATGGAGCCGCTGGAGAGGGGAGCTGCAGTGGCAGGAGCTGCGGCAGCAGCAGCCCTCCGGTGCTGCCCCCGGCTGCCCTCTGCCAGCAGCCCCTGGTCCCTCTGAGCTGTGGGCTCTGGGAAGGGGAGGCGCAGGGGGAAGCAGCAGTGGGGAGACTCCCGGGAACAGCCCGCAGAGCAGCGGTGGCTCCGGGGCCTGTGGCCGCTGCAGCGCTGGCACCAGGCAGGGCGCGGAGCTGGGCATGGCCCCTCCTTGCAGAGACGGGCAAGGAACAGGGCCTGGAGGAGAGCAATAAGTAGGGCTGGCTGAGCATTAGCTAAGGGGAAAAATGGCCAAATCATTTAATTTAACAGAAAATCCAAGTGGTGCTGTAATTATCAATGTGTAAAAGGATGGAAGACACAGAAAGCTTTCTCTTGTTAAAAGTTATTCAAAAGAAAAAAAAAAAGGCTTAAACTCTTACGAAGATGTAGCTTAAATTAAGTGGAAAAATAAAATTTTAATTTGCTTTGGAGTAATACAGGATTGTGAAATAGCAGCCTGATTCTGTGCTGAGTGGAGAGTGGGAGGAATGGCTGTTAAACAGACCTTGACAAACTTGAGCAACTGAGCCCGAGCCAGCGTCTGGCAGGAGGCAGAGGTGGCTTTTCCTGCTTTCCCCTCCCTCCCTCCCTCCCTCTCTCCCTCCCTCCCTCTCTCCCTCCCTCTCTCTCCTTTTAATATGATCTATTTCAGCTGCGTGACTCAACTCTTCTCTGATAACCTGCTAAGTGCAAGTTTTAGGGAAATACAGAGACTAGTAAAAAAAAAATTCAGGATTCTGTGTTTTGCTTTGTGATGTAAATGATTCTGCAGATAAAATGGGCTGTTGCTGACTGCTTTAATTGTCTCATAAAGGCTTTCCCCCGTAGTTTCTTGCAATCTTGAAACATCATTTGGTGATTCTACTGCTACTACCAAACAAAGTAAAACCCAGCTATTACTTTTCCTTACAGGCTTGTACATAAAGCTCAGTCTGACCCTATGCAATAGAATAGAGCATGCAATGTAACATGTTAATTTAGGTGGCAGTTTTATTACTGCTAAGAGAAATAAAAAATACAGAAGCTGTTTCTAATAGCCGAGGTTACTGTGCCTTTGCCAACAGCTTTAAAATTATGTAATCATGTTAGCTCAAATTGAAAGAAAAGTGGATAGCAGTACACACACATCCTGCTACTCACCTCACCTGTAATAGTTAATTCTGTGCTTGCGATAGTAATATATAAAAGAAAATTCCCCGTACAATAGTGTGAAGCATTGACTTTAACATGAATAAGTGAAAATTTGAAAGTTTTGGAAACAAGATTTGGAGCTGGGGCTGACTGGAGAAGCGAGTTACCTGAAAGTAAGGAAGGGGTCAGGGACACGACTCGTATCTTACCCTGTAGACACAAGCAGAGGCTGGGGCAGCATTAGGAAGGTGTTTGCAAAGCTGGAGGGGGAAAGGTGGTGCCGGTCYGAGTAGCGAGTGAGCCAGAGTCCTGTGTCACTGTCCTCGCACAGCCGTGTGTCAGGGACAGCCCCTGGCCTCTGCCTCCTGCCCYGCTGCTCCCAGGGTACTGCCCCTCAGCTGAGCTCCTCCGAGATTTTTGAGTGGTTAGAGAGTAGAACAGGGACATACTTTTTTTTTTTTTCCAGCTGAAAGGGACTTGTGATTTGAACTCTGTAATGCTACATATATATATATATATAATATATATATACATATTTTTACAAATTCTTCTTTCACTTCATTCCTTTTACACTCTGCTCTTTTAAGTGTATTGCAAAGCTTTTTGCTAAGCATAATTGTATTCAGAGCAACAACTTGACAGTGTCAGCAGTGACA